ATTGTTTCGCATGGTAATCGTCCAGAGACGTGGGAGCTGGGGGTTGTGAGTAGTGCCGCAGCCAACGCCCCAATTTAAACCGATTACTACGATTGCTCTAATATGTGGTCGCAGCCCCCAATAGCGAACCGTCCCAACTAGGAGCCAAAAAGCCGGCCACTCAGGGGGATTCGAACCGGGCTTCTCCCACCGGCCAATTCACGAAACGAACGTTCATCCACTGAGCTACCGAGAATGGTCCTCATCCGCACAAAACAAAATGACATTGACCCGCTAACCGCCAATGACAGTATTGTGACATTTGATCGCGTTTGACCGCGGCGGGTGGTCGCTGGTTTCGGCAGCTCAGTGGATACACGCTAGCGTCGTAGGGTGACCGGTTGGAGAAGCCCGGTTCGAACCGTCCCAGGTGCGCGACTTATTTGTTCCTAGATGGAACGGTTTGCTATTAGTGGCTGCGACCACACATTAGAGGAACAGTAAGAATTGCTTAAAGTTGGGACGCCGCGCTATCCAAAAACCCCAGTTCCCACGTCTCTGGACGATTGCTGTGCGAAATAGTAGACACCAATGAGCTCAATCAAGACCTTAATACTTACCTGTTAAAAACAATGTAGCTCCGCAACTCGATACACGTGTGATATAAATTCTATCGGCTGTCCCAATGCCACGTTTAAGTGTGTCGTAATGAGCATGGCAAGTATGATGATAGGTGCTGTCTTGGGGATAGGACATTTTAACAACTGCTTTAGCAAAATAATATATAGCAAAAAGCAAAAAGAATAATAGCAAAAAGAATAACTGGCGCCTTGAGACGCGAAAGTTAACTACACTCGCTCAGCCGCGCGATGTCCGTGCTCCCACCCCACCTCACTCCCCAGCCCTCGCCAGCCGCCGCGCCGCGCCGACCCGAGCCATGCCTCCGGGCTCGGCCCTCACCGCTGCGCTGACGTCACAGGTGGCCCACATCGCCTTCCAGCCACCGACCCAGACCGGTGGCATACGGTGTGGGTAGGCTGTGCCGCTTGACAAGTAAGTGAAGCGGCACAGTCTACCGGTACCAGACGGCTGCTGCCAATGCTGAGCCATAGGAACCCGGTGGATAAAGAGTTGTAGAACATCAATCTGCCCCCGAGTGTACGTGTGGAAACACATATCAAAATATTCTCTAATAAATTCTGCATTGGAATCAACTCTCATTTTTTGCCGAAATTTGCCTAAACCGTTACTCCAAGACATCAAAGCAGATGTCGCGTGGCTCCCAGCGCCCCGCTGCATACCGCCGCTGGAGGTTCCCTGCCTGTACGGGCTGGGGGGAGGGGTTACATCCTGTTTTGACCTTTAGAGATAAGCTGCTAATAGTTTTGACATAGCTAGATGTTAAAGTAATTTTTATACGATTTAATCACGTTTAACTTCTTCTTAACGCTTCCATGCCCACGCTGCATTGCTAGCCGGAAACGCTTCTACGCTAAGTCAATGGGGCGGGGCGGGGGAGGGGATGGGGTGGAGCAGGGGAGACAACCAAGCTATTGGGGAGCAGGCACCATTAGTCGAACCATTTGAAGGTGAAACAAAGTTATCAAGAGCAGTGAAGGGCGCGATATGAATAAATTCGTGCTAGGAAAGACAGAATCACCATAGTGCTCTGGTTAAAAGCTATTGTAACAGACTCCTCGCCTCTCGTCCCTACTGAACGACACTCAGACTCTGTCGTTTCCGTCTTATCTTGTTAGTTCTGTTTTGACAAGTTCCACGCGCCCTTTCACACCTTGCCTTTCCCCTCCACCCCACCTCGTTATCACATACGCCCGCGGCTGTTCCCACCGCCATTAGTACCAGCTGAGGCCAGCCACAGTGTCGTCCCAGAGGCGGACCCTGGTGGACGGGGCTATCAACCACACCAAACATCGTGTTATGCGCTTGCATTTCTGTATATAGCAGCTGGCAATGCCCCACTTCATTTTGTCTCGCTTTTATTAAACTTCGTGTCACTATTCATCGTTAACCAGAATAATCCCATGCTAAAAAGGGAATGTTACTGGCCGTTCGTCGACTCCCTCAAAACTCTGGTCTAAATCCGCCTCTGCCCCATCGGCGTCCCTTTCGCACGTGTTTGAGGGCGGCTGATCGGTCAGCAGATAACGCGGTGCGTTTGATCTCCCCACAGCTGGTGGGGAAGGCCCGAGGGGAGTTGACACTTCGTGGAATCGTAGGGTACCTAAGGAACCAGTCGATCTATTAGCTTTGCAAAATATGACGGGGGCGTAAAAAGCAGACAAGGCGCAATATGACGGACGGCGTATAACTGGTCGCAACCACGCCAGTACGGGTCTTGTGATTTTCCATCACGCCATCGCCGCCGCACCGTTTAACCATAGTGTAATAAATAACTAATATATAATATAATATAATAAATAATAAATAATGGTTAAACTACCCATCCCCCGGCTCCGGTTGGCGAGTGTGTTTACCGCCCTCAGAGCTGAGGAGACGACCCCGCTCATCTGAGACCAATAGCTCAAACTTCCCGCCGTCACCGCAGAACGCTTTCGATGCTCCGCCCCTTGACAGGTGGTGGGCGCTGATTGGTCGGGATTCATCGCTGTCGCTGCTTCATCCTTCCTGTTTGGATATGGCGCCGCCCACTCAGAGCATTACCGCCAATGCCTACAAAATGGACTCGGGACCGTGCGTTCACTGGGCACATCGGCTCCGGGACAAAATAAGCACTGGACAATTCCACCACTGGTCTATACGGCGGCTGATCTGGCCGGGACATTTCAATCACTGGCCACAACGATCATTTCCGCACTTAGGGGCGGCACATCCCCTGGACACTTCAACCACGGGACATTTCAACCCCTTGGCCTCTTCTGGACAATTTGAACCCTGGCCTCTTTGAATTTACCCTATCTGCAGCCAGTTGGCCACATTTGGACCATGCAATCCCGGGACAATATGAACTCTGGCCCATTCAAGGCACTGGCCATTTCGAAGACTGGACACATCGAGCCCTGGACATTATGAACCCTGGCCTAAATAATACGCACCCGGGCTGTCTTCAGCTTTGGTACAAAATATTCTCATTCGTTTCTATTTTTCCTGCGACGTTTTGTCCCAAACCATTTTAATGTTTTGTCTGTAATTATAGGTACTACATATGTGCTTATTTAAACACTATTTCATTGACCAAATTTTCGGCATTCCTCATATATGATAGGCGCTCAACTGAATTGACCCATCCTTTATCGCATTCCTTTGAGGTTCCTTTTAGTAACGTTCTCGTACATATTGTATTAGCTTTGCTGAAGGTGAACCAAGCGAAGCCGTGGCAAAAAGGTCGCAACAAGTCATATGTCATGTTTTAATGATAACCACATGTATATAACACTCATTTATGCAGGCTCGTTTGATTTTGCATTCCAATGCTGGCTAACAAACATCAAACACCGGACCTTGGAAATACCAACGGGGGCCACGAGATTGCATCGAACAAATTTCATGATCCAAAGCAGCGATGCAGTTAGTTATTATTCGAATGAATGCGTCTCAAATAGTGTCTAGCAATGTGAGTGGACTTTCAATGCGACCATGTTGACTCTTGCATCTGAAATGCGGCGTAATTATGATGATCCTTCGCAGTATTCATTATAGTTACGTCGCCATTTTGACTGCATGATATACCTGCGGTGGTGATGGTGCTAATTTGATTTTCAGCCAGCAGGAAGAGTCAATATTTGTGTCAGCTTGTGGCTGCGGGCTCATGAGATTGTCTTTTGACTTGTCAATATGGCGTACATGGACAACATGGACAAGCAGGAGGTTGCACGTGCATGCGCGTGCTTTTGGACCCGCCTTGAGAAGGTCATCGACGCGAAGGGCGGTCAAATAGGATGAGGGATAGGTAAAAGGTGACCGATTGATGGGATGTTGTTAAAATAGTGCTTGGAGCTATATTTTTAAATTCATGACCAAATAATCCCGTTTGATATTTATTCCCGATTATGCTGCCCCACCCTGTATGTTATATTGATATGCCATTATTCATTCATTCATTCATATTTATTTTGCACCAAACATTGGCAAATTCCCGACAGCTGATAACAAACAATCATCAGAAATGACAAAACCGTCATGTGTCAGCACGGAGCTTAGGTCACAGGGGTCACGGCCCCCGGTGGGAGGTAGCAGGTCAGCAGTCGTAGTAGGCGACGCGAAGCTTGGCTGTTGTCCCTCATCAAGAAGCGGATGCTATCTGCCAGTCCGTCTGGGGCGCGCGATGGCGTCACCCTGTGACTGCACGACCGTCCGGCAGCTGCCTCGAGCACGGCAGAGAAGTCGTTTCCGCACATGCGGGACAGTTGGAGAAGAAGAGAGTCGCCAAGCAAATCGGGGCACATGGCCAACTTCGTCAGGCCCGAGAGGAATGCCTGCTGGAGACGGTGTTCGGACCGCAGAGCACCACTTGCAGCCCGGAAGCATGCCGACCGAATCAGCTCATGTGCTGGGGCGATACCGGCAGCAGCGAGGAGCGCTGAGTGGTGGGCGCGGCGAGGCAGCCCCAGCGCCGTCTTGAGGGTCGCTGTCTGAGTGGCGTGCAGCTCTTCGATGTCAGCTGAGTTGAGTGGAGCGGACGAACAGCCGTACGTCAGTGCTGGCTGAACCACAGTCTTCCAGAGAAAACATTTATCTGCTGGACAGAGCCCAAATGCCAGCATGCCGGCAGGCGCAATTATACCATTGTGTGTCCATGATCCAAGATTCATAACCCAAGGCGGCTTACATTTTTTTTTCGTAGGAGGGTGCTAAAGGGTGCTTTGCCCGTTGCACATTTGCATGTTTTTTTTTTTGGGGGGGGGGGCACGTGTTTGGCTATGCCGTCCATTTCAGAGGCCGGACAATGTCAAGAAGTCAAGCTGTGTGCCAAATATGTCGCGCCTCTCTCTCTCTCTCTCTCTATCTCACTCCCCTCTCACCCTCCCACACTCTCTCCCCAGGTGTTCCGGGCGACTGGACCGCTGCCGTCTCCGAACCCACCTCTGACGGCTCGGCTGTCTCTCTGGCCCACCTGGGCTTACCAAGCCGCCAAGAGCTGAGGCTCACAGTCACCTGCAGTCGAGCCGCCGCCGTCCCTGGACAGGCTCGGAAAGGTCAGACAGCCACGCCAGGTGGGCTCAACGCGGCAGGTAGAGGGGGGAGAGTGGAGAGGGAGGGAGGGAGGTGGGGGTTGGGGATGAGAGTTGACGGGGGAGGTAAGGGATGGGGGGCAAAGGAACGGAGAAGGAATGATGAGCGTTGACGGGGGAGATAAGGAATGGGGGGGGGGGGGCTAAAGGGATCAGAGAATCGGAATAGTTTGGGTTGAGGGGATGTTTATGTTATGTTTAGGAATGGGTTGTGCTTATGGGAATCGAGGGAGTGAAAAGGGGAAGGAGTTAGATGCGGCTAGGCATTGAAAGTGTGATTTAGGCGCTGGGAGGACGAGAAGAAGAGTTTGGAGGATAGGTATTGGGAACGACTAAGGGCTATATGAGGAGATATGGGGAGGTGCTGAGACTGATAAAAAGTCTGCAATCTTGGGACAGGTCAGAAATAGTGTAATATACCAGGACATCGCGTTGGAGGAAGTATCCATGGAATTTCTCGGAGTGGTGCGTCGCAGTGAGGTTGGGGAAGCTCTGAGGAAGGCAGAAGGTCGCGGAAGGTCATGTACTGTCGCCGCGGAAGTTAGTCAGAGTCGCAGATTTACCGAGTCTGCTAGTACACCCACGCCGTCGGCTGCAGTTTGTCCGATGCAAACGGCATGCAGACGGCATCGTCATCGACGATAACCCATATGTGGATGTTGAAGTGGCATGGAATGAAGTCCCGCAATACGTAGGGAGGTGGAATCAATGTGCGTGTTTTCCTAGTAAAAAGTTGCCTTAATCCTCGCCGGCACAGGGGGGTGATGCAACCCCCCCTAAGGTTTTTCGCGAATAACTCGCGTAAAAAGCCGCCGATTGCGACGAAACTTTCAGTACCCTCGCATTGATCAATTTTACACCTACCCTGAAAATTTCATGACCCTGACCCTAATGACCTTTGACCTGTGACCTCCTTTCCGTGACCATGTTTGGCCGAAATCGCGATTCGGCGTATGTCGGCTCGCATTAGCCCCGCGTTTGCAAGCTTTTGGTGGTTTCAAACGTTCAAACATGTGATTTGATGTTGCTCCCATACATTAGGGTGGGTTTCAAGTACACCTGAAGGTCAGGTCAGGTCATTGACCTTTGGTGACCTCGGGTGACCTCGGTTCACTTTTTCGAGTTATACATGTTTGTAGGCTAGTTTTTGGAGCTGAATTCGAATTTAGCAACCATTTGAACATTTACGAAGTAGTTTTGGTGCCTTCGTAACATGTTACGAAGCTGTCAGAGGCGGTTGACACGTATTACGAACACCCGTCACAACCCCTACCGGTTGACCTGACCTGACCTGACCCGACCCGACCTGGTCTAAATGCTAAAAGACATCATCTCTGATCAAAACTAACACGATATTCGTGATCAGCACCCCGGAAAACCAACATAGCAGCCACACTTTACGACTTTCTAACAGGTTCCGATTTTCCCGGTTTTCGGGTCATTGACCTGACCTGGAAGGTCACCCGATGACCTAGGACCTTAAAATTGGGTATCATCGGCTTCCTCTCGTAACGGGCAACACGCTCGTTTTTTCCGCGAAGCTCTAGCTTGATCAGGGGCCAAACGCGAGGGGGAGGGGGGGGGGTCTTACGAAGCTCTAGCTTGATCAGGGGCCAAACGCGAGGGGGGGGGGTCTTACCACCCCCCCCCCCTTGTGCCGTCGAAGGACGCAAAATGGCCTGTGCCGGCGAGGGTTAATAACCTAGCTCAAAGTTCAACTGCTTTAAAAGCAGCTCAGCTTACTTTGATTAAAGCATTGGTAGCTACTTATTGTGCACTAACAATCTTGCAGCTTGAGCGTTTTTACGTCTTATTAAGCCCCACCAACTACCTTTGACATTACTTTGAAGTTAATGGTACACAGCTGCTTTGATGTGCCGGCTAAATCAGCATCACCTATATAGCCCAGGTTAAAGTTTCACAAAACATGAAATCCTCCATTCCAATTAGGTGCCTTTTAAACGAGGTGCCCCCAAAAGGTCAAGGCGCTCGTTATAATCAGTAGAATATATTGCAATCAGCCTCGGGCCACTAATGGCATTTCCTTTAGCCATCTACCGCGGAAAGGTCATCGAAATGTCCGGGTGAATAGTGCCAGGAGACACATAATGGGCGTAACGACTTCCTTCGGCCTCCACTCGCGATTCCAAAATGAGGGTTTGATTTGGAGGAAGAAATTATTCAAATGAATTCCGTTAGGCTTGGATCACTTCAAATGTCGCGAATGAATGATAAAAAGAAACCTTGGCTCCTCCAAATTGTTTGCGCTTTGCCGTGCTAGCATGTGACGGGTTTATTTATTTATTTCAGAACGTCACCTAAATCAAACTGCGTCCGTATTCGACGAAATTCTGTCAGTGTGAACATTCTGAGATAGCCAGCAATGAGCTTGTTCTGCACGCATGTCCTACCTTATCATTGCTCTCATTGTTACGAGAAAATGACATCTATTGTTCCTATTTACAACTGTGTGTCCTGGAGCTTGACCTCAGATTCAAATTGATATTTCAAAGCGCAGGTGCGAGGCTAGACTTGATATTTCCCAAGCCCTTTTGAGAAGTGAGGTCAAAGTGTTCATCTATGCAGATTCAAAAAACACTTGAAATGCGAGTCTAGTACCGGCAACGCAATATTCTCTGCATTGGCCCAAGGTCGATGCAATTCCGCTTAGCCTGGCCAACAGTTTTCTTCCACATTAAAAAAGCAAACCATTCATACATGAGCCATGATAGCAATTATAACTTAACACACGGTTAGACTTGTAGTAAGAAATTTCACGGTTTGCGTCAAACCAAGGCCTAAAAATACGACCCATCTGTTCGGAATAGCCAAACGCGAAGCATATATAGCGATATAGCGTGCTTTCATGCATATTTACGTCTGGACAACGAGTTGCGTTGGAGAGGCCGGAAATAGTGGCGATTTCAGGACTGCAAGAATGGACCGTCATTGGAATGATTCTTTTTTAAACCGCGCACTGTTTTCGGCCGGAATTTAATAGTTACTACAAAATATTTTGTAATTACGTTTCCACCAAGAATGAATGCCATCAGGGCTAAATTCTTACTTCTTTTGCATTTTGTCAAGAAGCATATAGTGCTGTTATATTGCAGTTTTAGCGCGTTTGTTACAAAATATGAAGCGAATAAGCGCCAGTGTAATTCATATACACTGTGTAATTCATCAGTGTCAGAAGTTAACTTGTGGGGAAGCTATGCTGATGCTAATTGACCTTGTCCATCCACTATAAGTTATTAAATATTTTGCTTTGTGTATTCCAAAAGGAGAAGGAACTATTTTATTTGTGCCTTAATGTCTGAATTGAAGGTAGATCATTAAATTTTCAAGGCAGTTTACAAACAAGCATTTGGTCTTTCCCATACCTGCTGCATTGCATGATTAAATCGAGACATCCAGGCATTTTAATGGCACGTGCACTGTACCACACTTTTCAAAGTTTAATGCAGTGCTTTAATATTGCCAGCCGTGTGGTTCAAGGGGTGTGGTTAAACGCGTTGAACCACACGGCTGCTGACGTCACTATCAATTATAGTTGTGAGCTTTTTGGCAGGTATGGGAAACACCTTCCAGCCCTAAGGCCGGGAATTCAATAAATGTCACCTCGCTTTTTTAGCGAAAAGCACCTCGGGCCTAACGGCCCTCGGAGTTTTCGCTAAAAAACCTCGGTGACATTTATTGAATCATCCCGGCCCCGGGCAGGAATATATTTTCTCGTATATTGATATAAGCAGTGGCTAAGAAGAAAAGGTTGATCAATCCTGAAGTTCAGTCATCGTACCTCAACTTGGCAGCAAGATCCCCAAGAACAGAGGAAATATTGTATACCTGTCCTGTAAATCAAAGCATTTTTGTGCCTGCAAAGGCTTAAGTTCTTTGTGGTGTGTTCGGAGTGAGGCTATATGGCAGTTTTTGTTGTATGTTTATGTGGAGATTGAATATAACTGAACCCTGTGCTTGTTTGTATACTTACTATGGTCAAACAGGGAACAGCACATTCACATAACATACTCACCTAGCACCTAACTCATAGCTGTACCCTGCAGGATCTGTACTTGTTCATGTCTCGAGCATTAACAAAGCACTTAAGTAGCTTAGTAATCATTTCCCACATTTTCTGAGCATCTAACATGACATACCGCAGTGCAGAGCAGCTTCAGAGAAGAAACACTTTAAATGCACAGACTCACCAGCCACCCAATGAGCCAGTTCCTCAGTTGACTGTTTCCTGGATGCAGCTTGGCAAGGTGAGCTAACTATTGGCAAGGAAGGCTAGCAGGTAAGATTGAGTTAGGGTGAGTACCTACCTATAACTGGGTGCTACTGCTATGCAGGTCTTGGGTAGGCTGCAAATATGTGTGATAATTGAGGTTAGGTCAGCTATCGGGTTCTTCAGGTATGCTCATTGCTCAGGTCACTTTTTTATGGACACTTGGCAAATTAAAAACTAACATAACCTAATCAAAGCTGAATCTTGATCTAAGCTAACCCGACTAAACCACACAACTGCTGACTATAGGAACTAAGCACCTACCTACTTGTGCCTACATCTCATACCATGTCAAAGTAGAGTTCCTTGGTGGAAGATTACCCTCAGTACTTTTTATCCCAGCCCTGTGAAGAAAACTAATACTTCTAAGCTCTGAGTCACTACTGGCCATCCACAGGAAGAAACGCCGAGACTGAGAGCTTTGCCATTGTATATTGGACCAACAATCACTATCACGAATGACTATGAACACATTATATGATCACATCGTTGCATGGATTGTCACATTGACAATTTTATAACAATCCTTTTTTCAAGAAATACAGTAATGATTAACTTGAAAATCAACATAAAGTGGATTTAGTGATCCAAGCTTTCTCCTCCAGTAGCAATGGAATGATCGCATGTTTCATTTGCCAGACACTGAGTACCTGATGCACATTACAATCTGCATAGCATCTATATAAGCATAGTAAAGCTGCCAAAGTCCTTTCATTCTATATTTTTAACTTGATAATTAGCACTAATTTATCTTGCTGTTGTAAGTTATGGTTATCATTCAGTATTCATAGCAATACATCAATATGCGCTCATCAGTCATTTTCTGGCATGATCCTGCTCAGCGCGCTCTTCAGTATTGCTCCAAGAAATGCAAATCATAGCTTGTTTTCGGCCAATAAGCTCTTTTAATTTTACTTTTTCTTGCTGATATATGAGCCCGATCAACTTGTGTTTATCAACCAAAATTTCATAACTTTAAGTTCAACTTGATATTGATATTGTTCAGGAGTCAGGACCTCTGTCAGCCTCCTGGATACTTCGGATTGTTTTCAGTCACATGCTTCTTAAATATGATATAAGTCAATCTTAAGGGATTCAAAACATCCAACAAAACGACGCACAAGAGTACGGAAACAACCAGATAAACTTAAGTCTTAAAAAGCGCCTTGGAACAGAGCCAAGTGGTGCTCCATTTGTTTGTTTACAATGATTGTAGTGCTGATGTATTTTTAGGACTCTGAAGATCGGCTGATAAAAAATGAAACGTTTTTACAAAATTTGTAAGGCAATTAAATTTATCTGAAAGAACTAAAATATTCAAAAGCCAAACATTATGAAATACATGAATCGGAACGAAAAAGTAGCCCCAAAATCCAGCCTAATCACCGGCTCCTAAAACTGCAACAAAATCAGCACTTTTCCCCGCAACTCGTTGTCCAGACGTAAATATGCTGCTTTCATACGAGTGTTTGACCCCCGAGCCTAGCTGTACTTATTTATGCCTTTTACCGAACTTCATTCGCTCTCGATCATTCATATTATTTATCGTATTTATCATCATTCGCTTCCGAATTTCTTCGCCGTGAGTCCATTTATTGGTATCCGAACTAACAGCATCCATCACTGTCATATCGGGTAATGCAGCTGTCTTCCACATTCCACGCCGGCTGAATTCCACCCTCCACATTCCACTCAGTCGTCCACACGTCACTGAGTGGACACGTGGAAAATATGGCGAAAAGTCGCCCCGGCAGCGAAACCTCGAACGGCTCTCCGTCAGTGAAGTTTGAGACCGGCCGACAGCGCTAAAAGATGAATGGTTGGGGTGGCCGTTTATAACGTCTACCACCGTGCTAATATCATAGTTGCAGGGAATGATATATAAATGGGACAGGTGGTTCGCATTGGGCTACTTAGCAAAGCAGAAGGCGAAATGAGCATGCATTGTTACGTAAGGCCAGTGCGCAGATCTTCTGATGTTTCTTATGATGCATGATGCCACTCGGGTATTTTACCATGTCTGGTAAGATGCCATTTTTTGCACCGTAGTGTCTCTTGTTGCTTATATGACGCTATTGGCTTTCTCTGCAGAGGATGAGGCACCCTTCAGGAAGAAGATCGATGCGCAGAATAAGACCCTTCCAGTGGACGTGCTGGACAGAAATAATCACCCGCCTGAAATGAACCAGAAGGACTCCGTCTTCGATATCTACCTGTGCGAAACTCACAACTTGTTCAAGGTGGGTTTTATGCTCAGTTGTGGTAGAAGCCCGTTATTGTTCCGTGATCATGCTTGTCATGAACTCCTGTCATTGTTTCAATGTGAGCGTTCAGGTGGGACATCGGAACGTGCTTTATGAATCGCTTTTTCTCATCTTTTCTTTCTATAGTTTGTTTTTCCTTTCCTCAGTCTCTAGTCTCTCCTTTTTACTCTCACTCATCCCACACTCTAACCTTCGTCTTTTTCTCTCTTCTCCTTCCTTCGTCTGCCTTTCCAGCCCTTCTCTTCCACTCTTCTCTTTTTCCTTTATTTTTCCCTCCCTCCCTCCCTATCTCCCTACATCCTCCCCCTCTCTCCATCTCTCTCTCCCTCTGGTTGACACTCTCCCCACCTCTCTCGTCAGGACGAGCACGTCTCCAACAAGAGGGGCCGCCCACGAATATCCATAGTCGACATGGACGAACACCACGCCAGTCACTACAAGGTCCACATCGAGGGCGACACAGCCGGAATCCTGGCGCTCGACAGTCCCACTCCGGGCATATTCGACCTGCCGCCCGGCTCCTATCCGGATATACAGAGGACGGCCTCGATGCTGTTTGCTAGTGAGTTGGGGAGAGAGGGAAGGGGATTGAGTTGTTTTGTTCCAAGTGTTGCGGATATGTCTGTCATGGAATAACGTTTCCTTTTGAAGCTGCTGACATTGGATATTTTTTGTTCGAGGACGCACGAAAGATAAATTTAATTCATTCCGGGAAGAGCGGGTCTCAGTATTTTGTTTTTTTTTTATTTTTTTATATTATCAATTTTGTCATATCCTGCACAGCTGTGTCTGAGTGATTCTCGAGCCATGTTATAGAAGCCTTTACTTACGCCACTCTATTTTTTTGTGAATGTCTCAGTACTCATGCTTGCACCACTGCATTGACTATGAGTTCGGAACTGTTCTGCACACGAGGTAGGATGACAGTATTGCAGTCTCACAGCTGCTGCCTTTCAACAGTGTCTGGGACCTATAGAGGCTACTCGTACGGGGCGACAGTAGGGCGACAGACATACGCCAGTCAGGCGGCGTTCGGGCGACAGTCGACGGACAGAGAATCGCGCGACAGTCACACGAGCGCAGTCGAACAATCACACGACCCGACAGGGGGATGACGCTACTTTGCTTCGCCATTGGTCGAGTACTGATGTCATTGGTTTCGAACCCAGTGACGTCACTGCTGTCTACACTCGATAACTTCTTGCCCTTGTGTCTTCTTAAATTCGGCCATATTGTTTTGTCCAGTGACGACACATTTGCGTCATTGGGTTCGAAACTGGTCCATGGCTGTAAACAAATCGCCGAGTGTCGCTCTCGCTACATCCTATAATGGCCTTGACCACGGAATCCTGTGCACCAAATCACACTGTCAGCGTTTGAAAAATGGTCTTCTGTCATACGCACGTGATACATGTGTTGAACATCCCTCATCCACTTAAAATTATTGAATTATAAATTTTTACGAGCAAGTGAACATGTTTCCTGGACGCTTCGCGGTTGGTACCAGGCACTTTGTGCAGTCGTTATGTAACAGACAGCCTGCATCTGAGGATGAATCCGCTCCCTGTCCAGTGCAGGTATTCCAAAAATCATATGGCTGTAGGTGCGGCTGCGCCTGACAGTCTCATTTTCGCGAGCGCTAGCTAAAGTCTGGATGACCTGGGAAAGAACTGATTTAAAGCGCATCTGGCATTGATGCACGTGTCTTTATATTGCCCTCAGTATATCCCAGAAAATTTCTCTCACGAATTTTAAGACGGATTTTCTCCGATCTATGCATTTGCAGTGATCAAATCACGTACAACGTAATGCGGACGGACGTGAAATCCGTTCTTTCCTACGTTTGGCAAACTATAATTTTGATCGTATTTAACAGTAAGACAATCTTCTTGCTTGTCTTCCTTCAGTTCACATTTGAGGAAGAGATGAACGCCTTGATTAATGATTATGTAACAATAACATTTGTCATTTCCCTTGCAATGTGCACCAATGCATCTTTATTCATATACTTATATCGATGAACCGCAAGTGATCAGTATGGGCCGCAATGTATTGTTATTGTATTGTTATACACCGCAAGTTATTGCTCACTCATGTGGCAATAACTTTGAACTAACAATGTAGCTTGCTCTCGTATCCGCCGATGCGCAACTTTTGTTCTAACTTTATTTTATATTTCTTGGTATTACAAAACAAGGATAAAAACTGCGCTCGTTTGCTTTTGAATCATCCTCAACCGTGTTTTTTAACGATATTGGGAATCGAATGATTAGGTTGGGAGCAGGTGTTGTATACCTAAATGCGTTGGTTTTGGCGTCATTTTTTTTTTTAATTATGTACAGGTTTCCATTTTTAGTTTTGCCTCTGATGCTTTTCTTTGTGAACATCCTTTCTTATGTAACTGGCAGGCATTGCGATTTGGATCGACGTTACAGAAGCCTATGCTCTTCAGTAGAAACTTCACAATCTTATCCACACTTTGACAAATAGTACAAGGATGTTTATTCATGCAAAAACAATCGTAGACTGTGCAGTTAAGCTGTCCCTTCGCTGCTAAATGTAGCTGCCCTAGTTTTACGCTGCTGCGAACTACCACCGGATTTTCTCAAAGAAATGGTCTCTTCAGACGTTAAGCCCTACAGCCAACATCCGAATCGGATTAATCTCAGTCATATCAAATATCAGCGAGTTATAAATGACTCGCTCATTTCACCCTCGTTATCTGGCGTTGGTGAACCATTACTAACTACCCTCCCACCTCTGTGCTACTGTTTCTGAGCTAAACATAACCGAGCTCTGGGAGCTGTTGTGTGGGATGTGACCCGAGTGACCTGGAATTGAACTGCTCCCGGGCGCGGCTGGCGGGGTTGGATGGGTTGCGCCACCGCTGTGGTCGCCGCTGCCGCCCACACTGATATCCGGTGGTCTTGTTCACCCTGAGGGATGTCAGATGATGCTTGGTGGGAGTCTGAGGTCAAATAACGCGCACAGCTGACTTGGGGTGGAAAAGGGTTAGAGGGGAGGCTGTGGTAGCTATGCGTCTTGAAAAGCTGACATTGGTGAGCGCTGGTGACGGCGCTAAACTCTCTTATTAGTGAATTCATCGCTGGTGGTGACTTTTGATGGTGACGTTGACGGTGGTGACGATGGTGATTATGATTGCTTCTGTGGTGACGGCAGTTGGCACAAGGGATGAAGGACAAACTGAATTTACAGACAAAGCTAAACGTCCGAGCAATCCTGATTTAAGTAACACTTGATGCTTCGTTTCTCCCTCTTTGCCAGATCTGAAATACAGGCGGAACGCCAGTCCATACAAGGAGTTCGGTCCCGGCTACAACTACTCCGTTCAAGTCGTGTTTGAGGACAAATTTCTGCACCACTCGTACGGGGACAAAGAGGTAAGGAACGAAGAGGTTTGGTGACATCCTGGAAGCATCCCACTGATGCATGAGAGATGTTGTTATGCATTGAAAACTGTGCACAGTGCAATGAAGACAGTTTTCTCAATGCTGTGTCGCGACGCGCTGTGGTAGCTGTTAGTTTCCAGGGACTGACTGAGGAGGGATAGGGTTTGATGGGTTTGACTGAGGAGGGATAAACTGACGTGGTTAGAGCTAGGAGAATGTAGCGTAACTGTGGTTACCTATTTGGTATTGTGCTCGTCTATGACCAGCTGACGTCTCTCTCTCTCTCTCTCTCTCTCTCTCTCTCTCTCTCTCTCTCCTCTCTCTCTCTCTCTCTCTCTCTCTCTCTCTCTCTCTCTCTCTCTCTCTCTCTCTCTCTCTCTCTCTCTCTCTCTCTCTCTCTCTCTCTCTCTCTCTCTCTCTCTCTCTCTCTCTCTCTCTCTCTCTCTCTCTCCCCTCTCTGTCTCTGTCTCTGTCTCTGTCTCTGTCTCTGTCTCTGTCTCTGTCTCTCTCTCTTTCTCTCTCTCTCTCTTTCTCTCTCTCTCTCTCTCTCTTTCTCTCACTCTCTCCCCTCTCTCCCGTGTTCCAGCTGCGTATGACGGTGAACCTGTTGACCTCCTGCCGACCTCCTCCACCGACCTCACCGCCTCCTGAGGTCGTCACCGTCCCCGCCGGCACCATCTTCTCCGCCGCCGTCCGCCGCGACTCTGCCCGGTTCGCGCGCGTTTTCCAGCTCCCGCGCGAACTGCTGGCGGGACCACTACATTTGGCGCCAACACCCGATCGCACCCATCGAGCTTTCAATGTCACAGAAAGGGAGGGAATTGTGTATGTCCTGAAGCCAAGTCGGTTACGGGAGTTAGCTGGTGTGGTGAATCTAACACTCCTCTCACGTGAGGGTGACAAAAGTGACGCGCCCGTGACGGTGAACGTGACGGTCAGTGTGAACGTGACGGCCGTCACGGGAGAGAGTGACGGAGAGGCAGAGTGTGAACAGAAGAAGAACGCCGACCACTGTGCCGTGGAGAGTACCGAGAAGGAGTGTGAGCAGCGCTGCGGAGCCGGAGCACAGGGACGCTGCGCTTGGAGACCGCCGCCCGAGGGAAAGGTAAGCGGGGGCGGAATTAGTGGCAACTGGCAGCCATACTGCCGTGCAAAGGCAAAAACTTCTATGTGAGGTCAGAGTCTGACCTCACATACCTAGTAGTTTTTTCCTTTGCACGGCAACCATAAAACTCCGCAATTATTCACGCTGGGTAAACTAAACCATGCACTATTCAGTATTTCAGTGTATCAGTAATGCCCGGGAGCAGGGCTGTGGTTCTTATATTCATAGTCTAGAAACTCATGCAATTCTCCATGGCTGGTGGCGCACTACCCAGGTCCCAATGTATCAGTCAAGCAAAGTTTATCAAGTTACAACACCTGTAAAGCGTCTGATAGATGTTTTACATGCCAGTTCAGTAAGCGTGATTTTATTCTATAGGTTTGTGTTGTACCGTAACAATGAACTATGGGGATTCGCTTACGTATACATGCTGTACAGTTTGTAGAGTTGTCATAGATGATGCTGTTCACTGAACTACGAACCTCCTAGCTTCGACGAGATATCAGTAACGTTGTATGGCTCCTTGACATTGCCTATGAATCTTTCAGAGGAACTGCCAGAATCGTCACTAAAGTATACATCAGTGACTGGACATATTCCCAATTGCCCATGCTGCCCACCCACCATATTGCATGTTCGTTCATTCATGTAATACTTTCATGTATTCATGTATGTATGATGTGTGTCGCTCAGGAGATGACCAACGAGTATGGTACGTGCAGTCCCGACTTCGGCACGTGTCCCGACCAGCGCTGCGACGAACTGGAGTCGCTGTGGCCGCAGATCTGCCCCCAGGATTGCATCGCCAGAGGTGAGGGGTTATATAGTCAGTGGCGACGGCGCAGGAGTGTGTGTGTGTGTGTCGGGGGGGGGGGGGGGGGATTCCGTGGAGGGGTGGGTCTCAAGTGGTCAAATGTTGGTGGTAGAGGAAGTCGTCCACTGGCGGATCCAGGGGGGGGGGGGGCATTTAGAGCCATGCTCCCCCAAGCCTGTTTGCCCCCCGCCCTAAAAAAAAGACCAGAGTTATAACATTACGCCTATGGCGGTGTATGGAAAGAACGGGGCCATTTCGGTCACTTCTCCCCCCCCCCCACAAAAAAACGACCGGCTGGATCCGCCAATGTCGATCCGCCAATTGCAAATAGCCTTGAGTAAGACAGCCGCCGAACTAGGCCTCTTCGGCATTTGGCATTTGCAAAGCGGGCTTAAGAGGAAGCAACACCAAATTTGGTAGCTGGGATCCTTGTTTCTTTTCTTGCACTGTATAGGCGCAATGTTGCACCCCTTCCCTGCTTACGCCAGTTTTGTATACTTTCGATGTTCATGGTTTATGTGCCTTATATGCTATGATGCTTTTCCTAGCACATATGAAACCAGTGGTATTTTTCACCTGATCAAATACGAATTCGCTCATCCAAAGCTCAGTCAAACGCTTCATATGGAAAGCGTGACCAATCACGAAAGCGAACGACTGTCGAGCTATTGAGGCCAAACGAATGTCACAGAGCTCCAGTTGATAAACGAGTGCCTAGTCAGGCCGGTTTGTTGTGCTGTGAAGACCACATATCAATCAACCATCACGAAACGTCAACAAAGATCACTAGCAAGAAACCTTTGTTTTCTCATTCGTACTTTGTAATAACATCAACTTTTGAAGCACACCCGGCGATGGCGTTTATAAATACCAACACGTTCTGCTATTCGGAAACTCCCTCCGTCAGTTATATCCTACCGCTATTCGGGAAGATTTCTCGCCACCATTTTTCGCTATTTACGGAGCGAGTTTTCCCACGCCGCTGGATTACCGTTTGTCGACCACCTAAGCCTGTTGTATCAGCTCTCTAAAATCAACAGGGAGTAGTGTTTATTCTACAACTTCAGCCGATACCGTCAATCCTGTGTTGAGCAACGGCAGACACTAAACAGATCCGGGCTGAGTTGAATAGGAACTCTTAAAAGCTGTCTGCTTTTGAACACTGAGCAGTTTAAGCGACGTGAGGGCTTGAGGGACTCCTGATCACCCAAACATGATCAGTGTTTTTTGGTATCATGCTAGTCTCGTTTGAAATAGCGCGAAATTCTTACAATGACCGAATCGCACAAAACATAGTGAACAACTTTCGTAATACAGAAATTGGCCAACCATGGATATACATTATGTAGTGGCCGATAATTCGATCTCACTACGCTATTTCGACCCTCACCTGCTACCTTCCCCTTACCGTTTGGCGTACCTGGGTTTCGATCGATAAGAACACGGGGAGGGGGCGGGGCTGGTCACGCGGCCGTAAGTTTATCGAGGTCACAGTCATCCCCTCCCCACTGGAGGCCCGGACCAACCGAAATCGAACACTCGAGCAAAACTGGCAATGTCCCTGGACGCCGTTATGAAGCAGCATTTTCCCGGAGCCCGGCTTTAGTTCATCATGTCGATGTGAAATGTGTCAAACTGTCTACTCTGAGATATGTGGCAATGATTTGATTTGCCGACAGTTTGGAGTTTGGGGGCTGGATGAATTTGAGTGAGTGGATGTAGTGTAGCGATTTTAGTTATACGCGACTCTTCTCGTTGTGTTATACCATTGGGTACATTCTGTTCTGGGGTAGACAGCAAAGCATATAAAAGAAAAGCTAGACCAATGCAAATCGATGTCAGGTAATGTGACTGACTTTTCGGTATGCGCGGGTTATCTGTCAATATTCACCCGAGTCAATGCGAGGATCTTCTTCGCTTGCGGTGTAGCACTGCTTATATGATCGGACATAACTCATAAGTTCTAAAAATATAGCCGTCTTTTAGGTGATAAATCACCACAAATTTTCAGCTCGGTTCTGGTTTCTAATTTTACATCTCATAAACGACCTTTCCCGGCCACAGCTGGTTGCTACATTTGTCTGCAGCTTGTTATGTTTAGCTGTGCTCGGAGCCTTTTACCATGTGTGGGCTAAATGCGGCGCAAGAGTTGTATATTTTGTAGTGAGATGTCTACACGGCGCAAGAGCTGTCAGAATCGGCTTCCGTAAAGCTAATTTTAGGTTCTTTCATCAGGCATGACCGAAAATTATTCCAAAGTGTTCATAGACTGAAAAACATTATCGACATCCTTCCGTAACAATGGCATACTAAATAAGTTATTCTTGGCCAAGTACGCAATACGCATACCCAGTGGGCATTTTGCTACCAAGTGATCGAGGACTGGACTGAATCAAATTACCATCCTTAGGTCGAAGGGAGCATAGGGAGTAGGGACTAGGGCGATTCCGACCCAGCCCATTTTGCGGCAGAAATTGATTACCAGACGGGAGTAGCGAAATACCGTTCCGTTGTCATAAAACCATGACGTGCTACCGTCGTTATTACGTCGCGTGGCCGGACAGATTGTATCGCTCGATTAATCGAACCTGGTACAACGCGTGACACAGTTCGAATGGCTACATTGATGGTGACATTCATAATGGGTTTGATGTCACACCAAATCAGAGATCCTGGATCAGATTATTCGCGGCACGCTTGAATAGATTGGATGGTTTCAAATATAAATCACTATCCGGCTTGGATTAATGATAGGGTCTGATACCCAATGGGATTTGACATTCGAAATACGTCTTTTCATCACTCCAGCTGCAATGTATATCTGCTTTGTCAGATAATGTTTATCTCCAAAATTACGTTATGAGCTTAAGTGCGCCATCGCTTTTCAAAACGATCAGTACTGCATGTTTGAAACGATACCAGTCAATCTCTGCTAAGACAAATATGGCTCTCCCGTATTGTAGGATGTATTGGTGGATTCCGATTGTGGTAATTTGTAGCGCTCTTTGGGCGAGATAATATAAATATAAGTTGTGACAACACCTGACGCCAAAAGGCTGGGAAGCTATCACTAGGAAGATACCTATCTGCGTATTTGTTAAATCAATTCGATTGCATAACGAATGCGTTTGGTCTTGGGTACCTAAGCCTTTGCATGTCGAAAGCACCTTCAAAGATGTTTATGCGTTGACAGGCCAGGTAAGATGCACAATAAAATAGGAAATATGTGAGAAAGAAATGCACACCGTTCCATGCTTCTATCCTCAAGATACGGAAATCCTTCTCCTCCACGCCGCAACCCCCCTCCGGGCTGGACAGGCAACTTTATCTTATGTGGGCAGCTCCCTTGGAGCGGCACCGCTGCTCCCGAGGGAGCGCACCCCGTAGCCGGGTGCAGTGAGTGCCTTGGGGCTGGGTGGCCTGTCCTCTGGACGGGCTCAGCCCCGGCGACTCACTAGGGTGCCTGCCCAGACCAATGTCTCCCCCTAATTCCTATCATCCTTCCGGCTCTGAAATGGTCTAATTGGACCGAAAGGGCCTAACCCAACAAAACAAACAACAAACAAAAGAAAGAAATGCAACACAAGGTTGAGCTTTCCATCCGTTCCATGAATCGCCAACGCCATCGGCCCCGTAGCAACAGCGGGGCAGCCTACCTCCCGGGTCAAAGTAGGTCAGCTGTTGCTAGGTCACCCCCGGGGGTCAGGGCAGGTCAGCTGACCTTGACCGGCCGGCGGCCCCGGGCGACGGGCGGACAGAGGGGGGAGGGAGGGAGGGGCGGAGACGGGCTGGGACTGCGCGTGGGTGGTGGCATTTTATTGTTGAGTTTTAGTCGTTTTTGTGACCTCGATCATCGATGAGTGTGCAATCCATCATTTCAATATTAGTATTCCGATCTCATGGTCTCCGAGCTCATCGATCTCCACTAATCATGGCTACGTCTGCCGACACCCAGAGTGTAAAAGATTATTTGACGTCCGGAGGTGAAAAGATATCCATACTAAGAGCGGCCTTTTCAGGCTGGACTGCAAAGAAGCTTTGTCATCGGGATTTTTAGGCGATCACATCCTAAGACCCATTCTTTGACGTTTATAAATGTAAATGAACGTCTATAGAAAATTGTTGCTGTAGCGCACGATACATTACTTCATTCAACAAACAATTCTCTTTTGTTTCTCTTCAGATGACCGTCGGAACGGCAGTCCGCTGCTGACATACGGCACCCACCGCGGCGTGGCACGTGGCCGCGGCGTGTGCCACTGCGAGCAGTTCACGAGCTGCACGTGCGCCACGGGGGTGCACGTGCCACGTCCGTCCGACAGGAATATGACGGAGAGGCAGCGGGCCAGGGCGACGGTGGCCACACCGCGGAGTGAGCGTGAGTAGAGAGAAGGAGGGAGGGGATGGAGGGGGATGGAGGGAGGGAGGGAGAGAGAGAGAGAGAGAGAGAGAGAGAGAGAGAGAGAGAGAGAGAGAGAGAGAGAGAGAGAGAGAGAGAGAGAGAGAGAGAGAGAGAGAGAGAGAGAAATGAGAATCTTCAGTGAATATCGATCGATTTCAATGAAACTGTAACCTGAGCACCGCAGATTGCACCTTACAACAGTTACTCTAACTACATAGAAATGCTCTTGAGATAATTCTCCCGAAGAATGCAACAATCCACGGGGCTCCACACCGAATGTACATACCCCGACCTATCCTCCTCAGCGTAAACCCAATACAGCATCCACTCTTCATCAAGATTGCGTCGACTCCGTTTTATTTCATTGCTAAAAGATGCACCGGCCGTCTCCCCTGGCGTTCGGCGGCTGAATTCATGGCCCGTTTCACCTTGACCTAGTTGGCTGATTGCCAGAGTTTTGGATGGTATCACCGGGCGCTTAATCGATCTACGCTGACGGTTCGTGGCATCGCCGCTAAAGTGAAGTAACTGATAGGTGGGTCGCTAGCTGATGCTCTAGCTGCTTCAAAGATGCTCCAGATTGGCGTAGTTTGAAAGTGCAGAGGACGTGCAACGACCTTAGTGACCTCTCCCCTTGACTCTCTCCCTCCTTTCGGAAGTCCTGGCAAGTCTCGTCTTCTCCCACTCTACCGCTCATACACCCAGGTGCAGGGGGCCCTTTAGAAGCGCTTCGTCCGCTCACCCTTGCTCACTTTCCTTCCACGGTCACTTCCCAACGGCCGCCCTCCCCCTGACCCCTCCCCCCGCTCGTGCCCCCCCCCCCCCCCCCCAGTAGCGGCGTCTCCGGAGAAGCGCGTGTGCGGCACGGCCTGTATCACCGGCTCCTCCCTCGGCGCCGTCCTCCTGCTGGCCATGATGCTACTCGTCTGCCTCATCTACGACTCCAGGTAGGTGGGATGCTTGTCTATATAATCTGCGACTCCAGGTTTGTGGGATGCTTGTCTATATAATCTGCGACTCGAGGCATATCCTTATGACCATACGGATATCTTATACCAGTATAAGATTTGAGCGCATGTGTGTGCTCTAAGATTCCAAATATATGTCTTCGGGATCTATAAAGATTGGAGCATACGTGACCGTGATATAAAATTTCAGCGTATTGCTGCCTGTGGGGTAACAGTCTGGGAAAATACATAACAAGCTCGGCCTGTGGCCTTAGGATCTCGGTCCTTGCCAACTTTTTTGCTTGGCTGCGGACGAGTTATCAATTAAAAATCGAGCTAGGATTTCGGCTGGTGCAAACCTTATTTACAAAAACGTTATCGTTCAGTAAGACACTACGCTGTTCTTACTCAGAAATAAAACAAATATAGTTTTGGCTCCACCGAGTATGTGGAATCGAACTGCGTGACCCGTTTTTCTCTCAGTAACGCTCATTTATCTTAGTTGAATCTCTGACCAATTGTATGTGGACCCTATACAATCTGACCTTTGACCTGTGACCTGGACTTCAGAGAACGACTCTGAAATTGCACCATAGATTAGTTCCAACCCGAAACGGAACACCACACGTGGCAAAAAAGAAAAGAAATATACTGTTGAGAGCCCTGGAGAGCAGCAGCGCTTCTTGGTCGATAAATGAGCGAATGATTATACTTTATCAATGCTCATCTTTGATAGACCTTCGGCTCTCGACATTCAATTGAATCCGACCATTTAATTAAATCCGATGATCTTTAACTACGGTTTCAGGTGCGGCCGATCGAGCAAGCTGCGCAAGGATCCGTTCGGTGGGGAGGTGATCTCCCTATCGCACATAACGGGAGACATGGATTTGGGAGGCCGCCAACAGATGGCTCTGCCTCCGGACGCACAGTGCGCCATCTCGGCCCAGCTGCTGGAAACTGTACCGGTGAGTTGAGATGGGATGTCAGAGATTGTACTGCTGTGGGGACGGGCTGTCAGAGACTGCACTGCAGGTGTTGAGCTGGAGACGTGGATAATAGGTATGGTGGTAAAGAGTGTTTAAGAGAGTGCCGCAAGTGTGTCCAGAAAAGAGGGCGACAATGATGAACATTCATTGTCATTCACATTCATAATGATGAACATTCATTGATTGAACATTACATTGTCAGGGGCTAAAACAAGTAAAATTGGTGCATTTCCATTTTCCATTACATAACGAATCATGTTTTTTTATTGATGTCTCGTTCAATCAAACTAAGCAAAGGAAGTTCAGACGTTTCTTCACCGCACGATTTGTTCTGCAGTTGACGTATTTGGGTTTAGATCCGTCTCAAAAGCCGATTCGATCTACTTGTTGGAGGTTCTTATCATGTTTTAACGACCACCACAGCCTGGTTTCTATGGCAACGCCCACCACGCGTCGCCTTTACTGTTCTTTCGATGTCTGCTTGTGACAAACAAGTCTTAAACGTATAAATAACATAACACAAGCAGCCTTCAGCAGTGACCGCGGGCGTGAGCCGTTATTGCAATGAGACTGCGTTTCACACCAAGTCCTGCTCCGGACAAAATAGCCTGTTGTGCAGTGTTCATATATTGAACTGTTTTATATGTTGGATCTGATGTTTCATTTAACGTTGGCATCACTCGCCACATTATCTAAGTCTGCGGTATCATTCTTTCACGATCGATGCATAAGAGTTAATAGTTAGCTTTCATAAGTCCTTCCAGAATTTCAGAGCCCAGTATGACTTATGTAGATAGGTATATGATCGATCAGGCATTTCAGAATGCTGTTTAAATTACGCAACCGTTTCATCAATTATATTACACCTTCAGTTTTATTCCCTGAATCATGTACCAAGTTTCTTTACTTTCTTCAGAGCTCAGTTACTCCAGTACCAAAACCGTAGCCCATATTTCCTTTTCACCATTGCCTATTCTATTCAGCAATGCCGCTCATGCGTCCGCTAACTGAATTTATCTCGTGGCCCGCACGCCAAGTTTCCTCCGATACTCCGATCAGTAGCCTTTCTACCGCCATCGCGGCTATAGACAAAGCCGGTAGGAAGAGACGCGATGAGCCTTGGAGCTATAAAGTTAAACCCTTGCCGGCGAGAGGCGGACGAATGGCACGGCGATGGCTCGTATAGAGTTGATTTAAGATGGATGTGGTTGTGCAAGGGTGGTAGCGATGGCTGCCAATGTTTTGATAGAACGAGGCTTGCCTCTTTTCCTGTCCAGTAACTACATACATAACGCTACGTGAAAATAATTGTAATGTGTGGTTTGTCCTCGCTACTATAAATAGCATGTGGCATTGACATTGGACATTGGACATGGTAAATCATTGATGATCTTGGTATTGTGGGGCTTGTAGTTCTGTCTGTGACGTGGTAGGGATTGAGAGAGGGCAATGATGTCGCTAATGACTATGTGCCACGATTAAATGACATTCAGCTTCCGCTCTCAGGAATCGTTTAGTGAGATAGGCGATATAAATGAATTGGCTTTCCCACATTGAAAGAGAGTCTTTCAGCTACGCAAGAAGGAATCGGCAGACACAGACACCTGGGCGAGCGAGGAGGGGAAGTCGAGACCGTGTTTCCGCCAAAAGAGAAAACAACCAAGGTACAAGGTACCAAGGTGTAGGTGGTAGGTAACTACACCTGCGCTATCTACATCAGCTGCCCCGCATGACACTAATGGGACCGTATTAGAGCCGGCGATAATCACGGAACATTAGTGTCGGGGCAGACTGCGGCGGGGCAGACTGCGGCGACCCCTAGGAAGAACAACTAGGGAGAACAACATTCGACAGATGGCAGCACTAGACGAGATAATCAGGCAATACTTTAATATTAATGGGAAAGGAAATAATGCCAATGCTTGCCCTCACCAAGCATGTTACCACGACAATGGAATTATTAGTTATAATCTATATGTGAGTAGCAAAATCCAACAAGAAAACAAAATCCGTGAAAGAAAGGCAACGCTGGCAAACATCACCACAGTCTTCCTACACCGAACGAGTTCCACACCAACGTGCATCAGCGAGAGTAAAACTAGGATCCTAACCCTTGTCATTGAACGTTTTTGCGGAAGTTGATAATCGGGCGGCGTAATTGTTTTATCTGTAACACCTTCCTTCATCCCTCTTGTGACGCATTGCTCACCACTCTCGCATCATTCTGTAGAATTGTGTCAAAATGGTATACGGTATTCAATGACTTTCAAACATTATTCATTGCCTCCGATAGTCGTATCTAACGAGGTTCGAATTGGTTAACAAGGTCTGGGCGTCTGGGCTGCCACGCCTATCGAAATGTTAGCTCAGCTCAATAAGCCATTCAAGGTATGAGTGACTCGACTGAACTTATTGGACACACAAGGGATAGGCACTCACAAAGAACACCTTCGTTAGGTACTAGTTAGTAAAAGATCTTTTTTAAAGGCCCACTGAATAGTGAATGTTCCCGATTGTTAACTTAATTTCCTCGAGTATTCGGTGTATTTCGCTTTGGAGATATTTTTCATCCTCTTTCTGTTCATTTCGCCGTCAATAACTCTGTCTATGTTCTGCTGCCAATTTCGACCCTCGACCTCTTCCCATCGTTTGTTGGTCGTCATCTAACCGCCAAGTAGCATTCTGCACCCGTCTCGTTTTTCCTTCCTTGGCCCCACCACTTCCTCAACCACGCCACCCACCTCCCTCCCTCCCTCCCTCCCTCTCTCTCTCTCTCTCTCTCTCTCTCTCTCTCTCTCTCTCTCTCTCTCTCTCTCCGAACCCCAATTTTCTATGCGGTGTGATTACACCCTCTGGGCCCATCCTGTGACCACCGGATCTCCCCATCCTCCCCTCCCTCCCTCCCCCATCCTGGCCCCAGGCTGTCTCTCTCTCTCTGTATCTCGGGGACCAACCAGCCTCTAATGATGCTATCGTATGCCCCCGGCACGCGCCGGGCGCTACCAATGCTGTTGACGAACCCTCAGACGGTCGTCTGTGTTCGCTGGAGGCATACCGCCGAGGGACACGAGCGGAGGGCGCTGATTGGTCGGACGAGTGGTGACGTCAAAGTGGGCAGTCTGGATGGGATGATTGGGGTACTGGCGGATACGTGACCGGGAGAATGGGGAGGAGGGGGGAGAGAGAGGGAGAGAGAGAGAGAGAGAGAGAGAGAGAGAGAGAGAGAGAGAGAGAGAGAGAGACTTATAGAGGAAACAATTTCCTCTCAATCTTTAGGTACTCGGTCTCAGAGATAGAAAAGGGGCAGATAAAGGTGCACAAATAAGCAACAGTACTCGCAAAGCAAGGCTGCAAAAGCATCGTAGTTATTTTGGATGGCTAGCAAAGATAAACGCTCCTGTGTGGCTGCAGGCTGTATCATGATCTTCCTACTACATTTGCTAGACTTCTGGACAAACGTGGAAAGTCCTATAGAGCAAATGCCTTACACGGCTACCACAATTCTATTGCGTCGGGCGACATCCTGTAAGTTACTCTATCCCATCACGCGAGACAGGGCCGCTATATTTAAACCTGTAATCCCAGCTCCCTGACAGGTTGCCATGATGACGTCACTGGGGCAATGTCGGCGGGGTTTTCAGTTACCTGGACATGTCATTGCGGACGGTTTCATCGATGGCTTTATCGGTGGGATGCGGTGTTGGGCTGAATTAATGATGTCGACTGGCACGAGAAGGTCAAATTGTTGGTCGTTGGACCGCTTGGGTACGTTAGAGTGCCGGGCTACTGCCGGGTCTGTAGGCTGGCCGGTGCGAATACTGAATACGGGTTTGAATAAAAGAGCAGAGCTGTCTTACCTGCATGCGTAGCATCTCCAACAAACTTAATCATTTCTGTAACCGCACGATGAAGCTGCGTATTTTGACTGAGAATGCATTCGTGAATGTCGAGACGAGAGGACCCCCGCGGCGGTATGGTCCGCTCTAAAGAACCTCGCATTCAGTCGGATGGATGACATGACCCAGGGGGCCAGGGGTACTAGGTATGTGTCTGGGCGAACCTCTGAGACGCCAAATACGGAACCTTTGAGCCGTCAGCCAGAGAACTGCAGATAATGCCACAGGGTGGCCTTACCGATTATTTCACTCTGGGGTGTAGTTAGAAAACTACTGATCTGCGGCTCGGAGAATACCTACATGAGAGATTGGTTGGCCGGATTCCTGATCGGACTTAGCTTGTATGAGAGTTACAGCATTGTTCGGAATGTGCGGTAGCAACTGTAGAGCCTATAGCTATGTGTCTTGGTGACTTGCCAGCGTTATTTACTAAGAGAGTTCTTATCGTTCAAGTTGCATTTCACCCACCTCCGTCATTCAACCTACCATAGTTAGTGTCTTGTGTGCAGGCTGCCAGACAAGCACGATCTTCTCCAGACTTGTCGTCGCCCGCAAAGCACTGAGTGGCTCGTCTAATGTCTGTATTATTATGCTCTCTCATGTGTCCTTGGCTCGCCGCGGTGTACATCATCGTGCCATTTTCCCTGGAGTCGGATACACGTCTGGACAGGAAGGGCTGAGACATGGCAGGCTTTTCTGCTCTTTGTTGTGATGATATATTGGATGATGTTTACTCTCAGAAGGAATGCGTTTATTTTTGTTAGATTGTTTTCTTTTTAGTTGTTGATGTTTTGTCCTGCATTTGCTATCATTGCAAATTTCAATTTTGTTGAGCTATCGAAGTCATTTATTATAAGCTAATCTATCTCTGCGGCTGTGCCTCTCTCTCTCTCTCTCTCTCTCTCTCTCTCTCTCTCTCTCTCTCTCTCTCTCTCTCTCTCTCTCTCTCTCTCTCTCTCTCTCTCGCTCTCTCTCTCTCTCTCTCTCTCTCTCTCTCTCTCTCTCTCTCTCTCTCTCTCTCTCTCTCTCTCTCTCTCTCTCTCTCTCTCTGTATTTGTTTTTCCTCCTCTCACTCTTTCCCTT